AAAATTTCCAGTCGTGGTTTTGTGCAATGGAAGATGTGAATTTGTCACGTTATAAAACCAGTTTTCCAGTAGAAAATCTACTTACTTTTCCAACAAAGGGTTTATCAGTAGAATTTTTCACGAAAACATCCATTTCGAGTCCCAGATCGAATGGCGGATATTCGCCAGGATTTTCCGCGGCGCTTACACCGGGGTCTGAAGATATTAATAATAATTAACATTATTAAGTACATAGTACAAACAATAATTAACGGCCTGTATTCGACGACAGGTTTTTTGCATCGGCTACGTAATTATCAATGTATTTTTTCCGTTTTATATAATAATTATATGTTATATACAGTGATAACTGTTTATAACGAATTTCAAGGGACAAACATTTTATTTCGTTATAGAGAGTTTCCGTTATACGGAGCTAAGAGAAATTTTTTTTTAACCAATTACAATAACTTCTTATTTTATTACTATCAATAGGTAAATTATATTTGTAAACATGTATTAACTATGCCTGACGTGTCTTGCTATGACATGCAATATATTCTAAGAATAATGGCTCACGTGTTAATGTAATTAACAATAATGAAGGCGAGACGACTGTTTATGACCTCAGGTGTCTTTCTTAAAAATTTCGGCACCTCAAAAGGTTAGCTTTGTAAGATGATTATAGAAACAATTACACTGAAGTATGTTCATTATGTCTAAATATGAAAATATTTCTTTGTTATAGAGAATGACTTTCGCAATAACGAATGACGTTATAAAGAGTGTACACTGTATATGTTAGGAAATTACCGTTGATTTTTATTGTTGCTTTGATTAATAATTGAGCTTCCTTCTATTACTTTTAAGAATCAGAATTTATTTAAACTCAATATGGTTTCTTATAATTTAATTGTTTCATAGTTCGGACTAATTAACTAATAAAAGTACGAATATTGTTACGACCAATCAGAGCAGAGCAAATGTCTCGAGTCGCCATCTTAACTTTGAACAGTGCGTTTAGGGAACGCAAGACCAGAGAAGAACTCAAGAGATTGAGTATTCAGTGGAGCATTGGATGAGACATTGGACCGAGTTGGGTCAAGTAGATTGTGATTAAAAGAGAGATCGGTGCCCTGAACTCTCTGCTCTTTAAAATTAAAGCTAAAGTGTTATTCATCGTGTTAGAAGGAATCAATATTAATTAAATATTGTACAATTATTTGTGTCTTTTGTGCTCGCACTTTACCCACATGACGCCCACTAAAAGATCTAATGAGATGTCCATATCGATGGACTAACAATAATTTTCCGACATATACATTGGTTTTATATTTTAAATATGTTCGACGTCCTGGTGGAAAAATATATTCTGATTATATATTATATACAATAAATACAATACTCACCAATCAATATAACGTAATGCATGCCGGCTTCGTGTACAGTCTTGACAAAGTCCGGTAAACCGGCGAAGGCTTCCTTGTCGTACGTGAAATCGTTGCCTTTACTCATATAATCCAGGTCGTTCCATTGAACATCCTGGAAATGTTTGAAAACGGGATATAACAACTGCCTTGAGGTCGCTTTAGTTATTTCGACTATGTATTTACGTGTTGTCAGGATAGTGGACAAACTTTGTTTTTAATTTTTAATGTTATTATTATTTAAGATGACATGGGGAAGCCATGGTTTTGGTTGCGAGCTCTTAAAACGTTGTGTAAAACAGATACCGGCAAACATATTGGGGAAGTTTATTGCAAAGTTCTTCTTTTCCGTTCTACGCCTTTGATTTGAGAACTGCCAGTAAATGTAAAATTAGAAGCATTTAATGTATATTTCTTTTTTGACTTTCATAAGTGTACATTGTGTTACATATATGAAAAAGTTACTTTTGACTTTATAGGATATATTGCATACTACTTTGATGAGATGTGGCCAAACCTGCTCTTTCGAGCGTCTAGATCCTTTGGTGTTACGACATGTATGTCACTCTGCATCTTCTACCGCATTTACCATGGAGAGTGTTCAGAGGAGTTGTTCGGATTAACACCTGCACTTTCATCGGACGTCGAGGCAGAATACTAAATTCCACCCGTATCACCTCGACGTCCGTCTTCCAAAACTGAGCGTTTCTTGAGACAGTTTTTTAGCCGCGCACCACTACTATGTGGAACCAGCTGGGCTACTGAAGTATTCCGAACCAATTCGACTTAGGGTCCTTCAAGAAAAGAGCGTACCAATTCTTAAAATGCGGGAGCCTCACTCTGGCCGATTTAGTGTCCATGGGCGGCGGTATCACTTAACATCAGATGAGCCTCCTGCCCGTTTGTTCTATTATTTTTTTTCCTTAAATAAATCTGTACATGACATCCATTCCTCGCAGGCCCAAAACCTCAAAGCATGACTATTTGGTCTGGCAATCATGTACAAATGTAAAGGAAACAGACGCGAGTGTCCTATACAGCAGCAGGTGATGAGTATTCTGTGCCTGACACGCGTCAAATCTTAGATCTGGTGGTGTCCGAACCGGTTATCTGACCGTACAGACCAAAGATCAAAGCCGAAAAGTACGCCTAGTATGAGAGCAAATAATTATTTAAATATTAAAGCCCCGTACAGGACTCATAATCACTAACTCTTAGGCCTGAGAGTTGAGCCTTGCAAAGTATATTAAAGGGGGTTAAATTTAACTTCATAAATTTCTTAAATAATTACTTCCACTCCATTATGAAACAATTGAAAAATTTAGGCGACAAGTCTGTTATAAAACGTGGACTAGAGATCGCGTAACCATGGTAACGAAAAATGAAATACATACGAATGGTATCCCAGCATCTCTATTCTTCTGCCAAACGTCTCGAGTCACGTTCAACGATCCATAGTTATACCTGAACCAAATTTGATAATCAAAATTTAGGTATTTTTATATAAACCAAAAAAAGTTGCCCTACAATAATTTTAGGTCTGGGCCTCAGATTTCTGTATCCGTTTCATTATCATTTGTCAATCTAATAGACAAGTAGGTGATCAGCCTCCTGTGCCTGACACACGCCGTCGACTTTTTGGGTCTAAGACAAGTCGGTTTCCTCACGATGTTTTCCTTCACCGTTCGAGCGAATGTTAAATGCGCACATAGAAAGAAAGTTCATTGGTGCAAAGCCGGGGATTGAACCTACGACCTCAGGGAATAGAGTCGCACGCTGAAGCCACTAGGCTAACACTGCTCCAGGTGCTGCTGATAAAATTTTGAATAATTCTTAAATATTTTCACATTTCCAATTAACTCACTTGCACAAATGGAATCCGAGAGCCCAATATGGCGGCATGAATGGTTTCCCGATAATTTCCATATATTGAGCAATAACATCCTCCGGGCTCGGGCCCATAAATATATAGAAGTTTAGAACACCCCCTATAGCTCTGTAGGTTATGGCCGGCGTCGGTTGCAGCGCTATATCTGAAAATATATTTAAAAATTCATTATTTCTAGTATAATAAAAAAAATGTGTTTTGAGTTCTTTTTTTTCTTGCATTATCCTCACATTTCGAGTGCGTTTTAGTAAATTTGGTCAAATTTGGTCATTACTAAAACCATATTAGGTCCATATTTTTCTTAAACAATCTCTTTTTTTTCTAACATCTAGTGACGTCAAAAAAGTTATTATATATTTCATACATCAATCAAATCCATTTTTTCCCCTACTTAACAACCAAGCTTTTGAATTGGTAATTAAAATAATGAACAAAATAAAAAAAACAAGGTAATTTAAGTGAAATTGATTTAGGCATACTATAGTAGTCGCATTATGAACTGAGGCTTCGGGCCATAAATCATATTTATCTGCTCGATCAGGTCTCGATAATTATATAAATGTCTCGCTCGCACTTACAGGTCTTATGGAGAGGTGTAGTGATGTGCGTATCGATAACGGAATAGGTATGATCGATATGCTAAATTATGTAAGTATTGATAGGAATATTTTTTCTAGAAAAGTTGTATTTATAGAAAAACAACTACCCTAACCAACTCGTACCGACCAATCAGGACTCAGCGTATAAGTATCGATAACGGGTTGCATGGCGTGCACATTCCTACTGCCAGTGACATTTATTGCCCGACGACTCAGTTTAAAATGCGTCGACTATAAGTCTGTCTTAGCTCTAATAGTTTCTATAAAAAGTTACCCATTGCATTGGAGTTGAGTAGCAGAACGCCATGGCTATTTCCATTCGTCTCTAGACCCAAGTAAAAGGGATGAGATCCATACAAATGAATCTGGAAAATACTTATAAATTTAAACGTACAGATTCAGTTCATCTATAGGTGTACCGCAAGGCTCTCTACTCGGGCCACTTTTATTCCTCATTTAAATAAATGATGAATTTCTATTTTACGCCCTAATATTGTGGAGGAATTCATCACTTGACAAAGTAAACAGTGCTACTTGAAGATTAGTTAATTGGTTTATTAGAGATAATGATAAATGATAAGGAAACTAAATACATTAAGCTTGTCACCAATAATATCAAATATTAAAATAAATAAACTAACGATAGGATAGCTTTGTTGATAAGACTGTTGGGTTGTTAACTATGGAACCCACACAAATACAATCTAATGAATAAGCTAAACTGTTTTCATAGTAAGAAAACAACATTCAAGTTACGTTATTAGAGTAACTTGTCTATCACCGTTTTTCCAAAATAAATTAAAAGAATTACATATATTTATGTATTTCGAAATCTACAGCTAACATAAATTATATATAGCAAAAAAACAATTATACTAAAGATATAGTCAAAGATGGAATACATAATAAATACCAAAAGGTTCAAACATTTACAAAAGGAAAAAAATAATAAAAATTGTTCAATGAATTTAACTAAGTAATACATAATTCGGCTGTGTTGTGTGATGTGAAAAAATCGATGATGATTGCCAGGCATAGGCTAATTATCTAAAGACCTGTGCCCTGCAAGCGGAGTTATTTTAAAAACATGCAATAAATTAATATGAAATGACGTTAACGGCAATTTTCGAAATAAAACACGTATGTCCGTTCAATGCTAAAAACAATAACATGTTTTAAAACACAGCTTCCATTTTATTTTGTGATATATTATCGCGTTCAATTAGCTAATAAAATGGTTCTCTAATGTCACCTTGCAAAATTTATTTATACATAATAAAACCAGAGACCAAACACAAGCGTTATAGCTGCACTGAATTAAGGAAATACCATTATACGAATTGTTAAAGAAATGAAGATTTTCTTACATTTTCACCAGGCGGTTGGTCGTTATTGAAAAGCGTGTGAGTTTTCCAATTCATGTCGTTTAGAAAACTAGCTTGTTTTTCTCCTATACCATACGTGTAATTAGTTGGTAGCACCGCTGACAATTGTAGGAATTTATCCGATAAAATGAATCCACCCGTGTTTTGAGCGTCCCAGCTGAAAAATTGGTTTTATTTTTTAGATTAGCTTAAAGCTTTTGATTACGGAAATGTTTTTCATAAAGCATTGTTTATATATATATAATTCTACTGTACGTGTGTATGCCACTGAACGCCTCTTAAACGGCTGGACCGATTTGAATGACTTTTGTACGCGTTTGGGTGGCGCCCTGGATGATTTAAATTCACAAAACAGCCCGGCAGATGGCACTGTAGTCGGTACTTTCATACTTTGTTTAATATCCTAATCGCTTGGAATAGCGGATCTGTCGGGTCCGCTGGTATATATATATCGCCTGTGAACATTCTCAATGAGAGCGTGCGAGTGCGGTGCCGGCCTTTTAAGAATTGGTACGCTTCTTGTCCCTAAGTCGAATTGGTTCGGAAATACTTCAGTGGGCAGCTGGTTCCACATAGTGGTGGTGAGCGGCCAAAAGTGCCTTAAAAACGCTCAGTTGTGGAACGACGGACGTCGTGATACGGATGGAGTTTCGTATTCTGCCTTGACGTCCAATGATGAAACTCAGCTACCGCATAGGCCATTTATAGAACCAGAAATAATTATTGTTTCACCTGGATTCCAACCCAAGACTATTAAATTGGAACCACTTCAAGGAGGATGTGCGATATATACTAACTTCAACAAATTTACAAATTTTGATGGAGATTTTAGCAACTTAAACGAATTGCTATTGAATATTATGATAAAGTTCCATTGCCTATAAATACTTTGTGTTTTAATACATATTTAGTATAAATTACCTAAAAAATGAATGAGCAAAAATAAAAAAATAGGCGAAACTTACATGGTAACATTATCAGCGTTCCGTATAACTTTGAAGCCCACAGCGGAGCTATCAACATTAACGCGATATTTTATGTCCGAAATCGAACTGTAGACCGTCGGCACTTCAGGATACTGTGGTTCAAATCTTTTATTCTCTGCATCGGATATCTGAAGTTAATAATTAATTAATTTAATTAACTTTGACTAATATTAATAACCGATAAATCGAATTTGATACGAAGCCAGCGAATAAAAAAATGCCTTCTTTTTATACCGCAGCAGAACTGGACCGCGTTATAGGTAATCGCGTTGTAGGAATCTCGTAAAACCGTTTTGTTGAACTATTCAAAAACTAGGAACACGAATTTAATAACGTTAGTTTAATTTTATAACAACACAATTGAAGGTGCTAAGGTACGCAAAACTACTTATGGACTTGACAAATCATTATAATTTTCACACTAAAGAAATATAACTTGAGAAATCTCCATGTTATAGGGGTGATTACTGTGTATGGTTTTATCTGAAGGGAAAATGAAAACATAAAACTTACAAAAAAATATTCAAATAAATAAGCAAAATTCGATTGAAATTACCTTAATCTGCAATATATCGTTGGATAAATAATTAAAATCGATCCTGGCAACACCAAATTGTTCCGGATATCCTGTATCACACGATCGGGAGTAGTAAACCGTCATTCCGTGTTTATTTTCCGTACTATTGATAAATTGGTATGTCTCATATTGCGGCGGATAAAAACAATATGGCGCGTATGGGTCGTCTGTGGCTTTCCAACAACAACCTGAAATATTTTTTATATTGATATTTGATAATCATAGTCTGTGCTTACCGGCGTAGCAGTTTTTCAAATTCATATAATTCTTATTTGCTACGCGTCATTTCATCTATTCACAAAAATTATATACTATTTTTTTCATATTAAACAAAATGATTAATATCGAACTATAATGACGTAAAAGTATATATAATTTAGACCACAAATCCCGCAACGTATTACATTTTTTCATTCGTATATAATTAAAAATCGCTGTAAATCAATTTAAATACAACAATTATATTTGATTACTTATAACTCTTCTATAAAAATTTCTCCAAATGTAAGGTACAATTTATCTGAGACGAGACCATAATAGGTTCATCAAAATTTTATTACAATAATAATTGTTAAATTTTGTACCAACATTGACATTCGGTTTATATAAGGATACTTTATTCCTCAAATAATTACATTGAGTTAGTGAAAAAATTTGATGATATTATATATGATTTTGTATGATGATTTGCTATTTTAAAAGAATACCGAGAGTTTTTTACGCCGGCTTTTTCTCTCGGCCTACACCCTCTGTCTTCTCTGCCGATGATTAGGGATGTCTGCCGATTCAAATTTAATGACGTGGAATAAGCGATACTTGTGTCTTATATTCCATAAAAACATTTTTTTTTATATCTTAAGAGATATCATGGTCAAATACCACCATCCCGTATTATGAGTATGAATACAACCCCGTGGTACTGTTAGTTATTTTTGTATTACCTCGTTTGACACATGCTTCCTCACTCGCCCCGTTTTGCGGATGGCAATCGAATCGCATCTCATCATCAACAATTCGTGCACAAAGTTCCTTCATCACCTCGGGTGAATGTACCAGGAAACCTTTCTTCACGTCTTTCTTCGTGTTATCTGTCGCATTGCTTCGGTTCTTGGTGCTTAAGTTGTTGTGATCGTGGTAACGGTATTCGGTGATGACGGGCTAAGGTAAATATTTTCATTTAATTTATGTCTACGAGGGGTTGCGCGTGCAAGCTTCAATCCTGAGGTCGGACGTTCGAATCTGAGCTGTGCACACTGGGCTTCCTATATGTTGATAGCGGCATACGTTAGACATGTAGAGCAGAAAGCTGATCATCTACTTGCCTATTAAGAATAAATATTCTAGAAATATACAGAAATCTGTAATCAAGATAAATTATTGATGCTCCACTAGTCTTTATTTATTTTGAATTTATAATTCTACTTATTAATTAAAACTTTAAAAGGAGCATAACCTTTTCTTAATTTCTTATTAGGTAAACGGGACAAGTGGAACTCGCGTTTATGAATGGTAAAAAAATTATAATAAAAATAAATCAGTGGCGCTACAACCTTTTTAGGTCTGGGCCTCAGATTTCTGTATTTGTTTCATAATCATTTGTCATAGGCAAGTAGGTGATCAGCCTCCTGTGCCTGATACACGCCGTCGACTTTTTGGGTCTAAAGCAAGCCGGTTTCCTCACGTTGTCCTTCACCGATCGAATAGAAAGAAAATCCATTGGTGCACAGACGGAGATCGAACCTACGACGTCAGAGATGAGAGTCGCACGCCACAGTGAAGCCACGAGGCCAACACTGCTCTATTAAAAGATAATACATACATTTATAAAGACAACCGAAAACTTGCAATGATTCCTTTTTTTCTTTTATTTATGGTTATATTTTAATATACATAGGTTAAGATTTAGAGACAAGAGTTAATGATTTATTAATTTTGACATACAAGAGAGGTAATATGTAAATCGTAAAAGAATCAAAGAAGATTTTCAAGGTAACATGCTGTATATAGTACAAAGAATTGAAAGTTTTCATATAAATTATTAATTAAAAATAAAAAAAAAACCTACGCTCAAGTTTTATGGGTCATAGTGGACTGAAAATGAAATGAAATAGTTTATTCTTGCAAGTAGGACTATATAAATCACTTTTACAATGTCATCCTAAACTAGATGAAGTCGACATTTCCTAACTGACTGCCCTGAGAAGAAATGTCGAAACAAACTCGGGGGTCTTAGTCTCTTTTATAGTCCAGATAATACAATAATAAATTAATAAATTGGTGTAAACAAATGCAGAGTATTTACTGGACTGGTCTTTGGAAGAAAGAACCAGATCGATCTGAGCAAGCCTGTGCCAGCAGACGGCAAGCATGCCCCGAATAGCTCATGCAGCTCAACCATTTTTGAGGGAGCTGCACAACCCGGTACACAGCAGTACCGCCAGTGGCACCATAAAAATATGTGGGGTAACAACTCACTCAGATCGCCAGCCCAAAATAACTATAGACTAAAATGTATCAAATTATAAATCAAGCAAAAGAGTTTATGATATACCCGCATAATGTTTACACTTACAATGGATACAAAATGTATTTTTAAGGTGTACCTTAAAGCAAGGAAAAAATAATGAAATTGAAAAATATAATCGTAATATAAACATTATTCACTTGGCATGTCAAAGTGTAAAATATTGTATACAAAAAAAAAAGCTACTAACATACAATCTGTTTCCCAAAATATTAATATAAAATTGATCCTTTTCAGGTTAATTTAAGTATTAATCAATACAGACATCAGATACAATAATATAATATTTAAATATGTTAACAGACCTTTTCCAATGACATTGGCGTAAGTGGTTTTTTTACTTCTTCAGGGTGAACTCGCTCCCATAGTTTTCTGAAAATTTATACATATGCTGTAGATAAGCATCTTTACAGTGTCTGTGACATAAAGCAAACCACCATGTACCAGACCTAAAAGTCGACTACTACACAGAAGGCTCACTAAAAATATTTGAAATAAACAAAGCAATGTTATGGGGCGTTATGGGACTTCAAAATTGCTTGTATGCTGTGGTTACCTTAATTAGAATCAAAAATTACTGAAAAATAATAGAATATATACTTTTTACAAGTGGTATTAAGATTACATGATTTCCTTGGTTTGATTTATTCTCATAGTGTGAACTATAGCTATTAAAATATACTAATATATTTATTTTTAATTAGATTAAACATAGTTTCACCAAAGTCAAGAAATTTTTGGAACTATATAAGGTACAGGTAGTGTTAAATTTGACAAAATTACATACATATTTAAAATAAGTAGTAGACTAAGTAGTAAGACTTAAGTAGACTATGACCAACTACGCAATATAGATAAGAGTAATTATACCTGTAATGATCATCACCCCATCTCCCACCAAGTGCCCCAGCCACAGCCCACCAAGTAGCCACAGCCAGAGCACAAAGCAAACCGCCCACAAGCATTCCTGGTAACAATGCTGCTCCTTTTTCCCACCAAAGATTTAAACAGCCACGCCGTGATGAGAACCTCTCATATCTGTTAAAAAGAAAATAGTTATGCATAAAATATAATTAAAAAAACCCTTCATAATAGTAGGAGAATTGCTTTTGTATTAGAAACTGTAAATCTAGAGTAGCATAATAATATTTACCTACAGCACACAAAAATATTTAACTACTTGCAGTATGTACATGGTGTAATACAATACAGATAAGGAAATTCCATTCCTTTTAAAGAATGAAAAAGATAATGTTTTTAAACAATGACATTTTATATGTTAAATAAAAAATGTAATAAAATAGAATTCCATACAATTACAATGTCTTACCAAATTGAGAATGTGTGAACCTTATTGAACACAATAAGTATGATAGCACAATTTAGCTGCTTTTAGACAAAACATTAAGATTAAAGGTTAAGGTAATTAATAATAATCATGTTTACTATTTTCATAACATTTATTTTTAATTTACATAAACAATGTAAAACTGATATAGACAAACTTTGTCATAATTTTAGTTTACATACGTTTCGTTTTGTTGAATAACATCATATTTTTATTCCAAAGAAGACAAAAAAAAATGTTTCCAATCCCAAATATTAATGGTAAGAAATGATACAATATAAATTACGTACCTATGTTCTCGCATTGAATCATCAGTCCTTGTTTTAGGTTTAATGCCGCTAAACAAAGGTACTCTGCGTGATTTGTCACTTCTACAAAACGGCGCAAATGTTGCCTTTTTTTTGTTTGGAGCCTTGGGACCATTCAGTGATGTTTCTGTTAATATCTCATTTGTACCAGATCCTTCTCCAGCATCCCTTAATTTACTTTCTTTACCACTTTCATAAAATAAGCGATAGTTAATATTATCATTAAGAGTCAATAAATCTTCTTTCGCAGTGGGAGGTTTGTCACAAAAATCTTCAAATGAAACAATCTCATAATCGTCCTCTTCATTTTGTTTTTCAACCTTGTAGGGAATCTTCGGCATTTTTAATTATTTATAGTCATTTACAATTTTCACAAAGACACTGAAAATACGAGTATACACAACAGTATAGAGCTCCCTCGCATTTTAGTATAAATTTATGGATACATCGTAAACAATTAATTTATTCCTAAGATTAATGACTTCTACTATTACAATAATGTTTACTATTTAACCTCCTTTTTACCAAAGTATCTATAATTAATAAATGCTAAAATATAAACATCAATCTACGTTAACGTTATCAATCGATTAAAAAAAATTACGTATTTGGATTTCGGTATTCGGAAATGCGAAAAGCCTCAGATTTAATTTCTATATCTGCATTCTCAATCTTAATGAACACAACATAAAGTGTAAATTAGAATTGATTCTATGGAGGGATTTGACGTTTAAGCTTGGTTATACAAACTTTGACGTCGACGATCAAATGGATGACAATTGATATGTCATTTCTACAGGTTTGCCATATAAATTATAAATTAAATTTTATTGTTTATATCAATAATTTAAATATTATTAATAAAATCACTAAATTGAATATAAAGTAAATTTAAATTTGAAACGTTGTTATAGGACTCATATTTAAATATAGGTGTAAAAGTTTTGGCAAACTACCTATTTAAAAAATAATTTTTTGAGGGTAGTTTAAAAATAATTTTTATTTTATTAATTTAGTTATTGTAGGTGGCTTTTATTGAAATGCGTGGAAAGCATGGTGGAGGATCAGTGAAATCAATTAAGATAAATATTTGGCTGTTTCTTTAAAATATTAGACTAATAAAATATATTATAATATATCATGGATTGGAAAAACGCAAGGGTTTTGTTAGCATCCACAGCTGCCGTCGTAGTTGCTTCTCAAGTGGTGAAACATTTGTGTAAATACTTTTACAACCTTAGAAGGAAAACTGAAACTGATACAGTAAGTGACGATGCGTGTAGCGATGTCGTTTGCACTAAAAATAAAGAAATTAACGATGTGATATTATTTTCTGATGACTCATTGAGGCGTACTATAAAAGTCCCTGCCAATAAAGACGTTAGTATATGTGAAAGTCGAGAGATAAATTGCTTCAAGTTAATAAAATACATAAAATCTGCTCGAGAGACATTGGATGTTTGTATGTACCTTATAACTAGTACTGAAATTGCCGAACAAATAATAAGGCTAGGACAGAAACATGTGCTAGTAAGAATTGTTGTTGACAGTGATATGGCCTTTACACCTCCATCACAAATAAAAAAGCTAACGGAATATAGTAAGTATAGTGATATAAGTAATTAATCAAATTTTCAGTAAAAATAAATCAAAATTAATATTTTTATTTCTAGGTTTCATAAAGGTGCAAACCAATAAGAAGACCATTCTAATGCACCATAAGTTTTGCATAATTGATGGCCCTAAAGCAATAAAAAGAAAAAGTGCTCTTAAAGCTTATGCTGAAAAACTAAATGTACACGCCCAATTTGTTAAAAACCACATTAAACCATCAAAAACCAAGCTTATAAGAGGTTTTGTAATGTCTGGCTCATTGAACTGGTCTACCCAGGCAATGGTATCAAATCATGAAAGTGTTATAGTAACTTCAAATACCAATATTTTAAATAAATTTGAAAAAGAATTCGAAAGCCTTTGGGTAGAAGAAGAACCGGTTGGTTAAACTATTATTTTAGTCTTATTATCATTTTTTTTTTACTCCATAAATTACAAAATTATATGGGTAATATAAATCCACAATATTTTTTACAGGTTCTCTTAACAAATATATGACGATTTAGATAGTTAATAATTTGTAGGACATACTAAGAATATCATTACGCCGTTTCATGTAAGTAAATCTCATGATTCTACTTTAACTATTAATTATGTTTTAATTGAAAATTATGTGCTTAGATGTTTTATACTCTAACATGTAAACTTCAATAAATTTTTTGATCGGTTGAAGTTGGAATGATCGTGTGTAGCAGCTATGCAGATTAATTTAGCATTAATTATGTTTTTATAGAAATAAAAAAAATATATTTTGTCACTTGGCAAGCGAGATAGGTTATCGTTCGTTCATAGTGTATCTGTATTCAAAGTCATTCACTCTTTCTTCACAAATGACAGTTAAACCATAGACAAATCCATGTGCACTTCAGTTTGATTTCGATCGATCATATGTTTTCTTTGTGTAGTTTTTTCAGCCGCTGATTTTCGAATTGGTTATGAACTTTATTTAATTATAGTGTAAAAAATAATATATTTATAATGAATAATGCTTAAACGGCAAACATTGTGTAAAAATGTTTATTTTCGTTTGTTTATTGAATTGATCTAAGAAGTGCATCTAAAGTGCACGTGCTTGCATTTTACTACGTATTTAAAAGTTTCCCAGTGGAAAAGTTACGTTTGAAAGAGCTTTTAACGGAAAAGAATAAGCTTATCATCCCTTAGCTAAACTTGTGAGACCCTAGTACAGTTTTTTGATAAAATAAACAAGTTTTAAAGTTCCTCTAAGGCTCACCTGTGCATTGCACTTTGGTTATTTTTCTTCAAAACTTTTATCGAATTTTAAGAGGTATTAGTACATCCTACAAAGACTAAGAAGCTTAAGGTACGTAAAAACAGGATTTTATTGGGATATATATATTATTACGACTTTTAACAAGTGCATTGAAAGATGACACATGCTTGCACTATTTAGAGGACACTTAGAGAAGGTCATTACAGTAGTTTTTTGCTAGAGAATTCTTATCTAAACATCGAATGTCTCCTGCTGAATAACTTGTTCCATCTAAGTAATAAAATATTATCATATTATTTTAGTGTTTTTCAAATTTGTATAAGTCATGTAGAGGTTCTAAGTGTAAGAAGTTAATTTATATATTATTAAGTAATCACATCTTATATTATGAGATATTAATTATTATACCAAACTCTTAGAGAGATTGTAATATAGAAAATGAACATGTGGTGGAAAGAAAATGAATCTAGGTTAGGCTTTTGAAATGAAACGCTGCACGCATAAGATCTTATAATTGTGTTGTTAAAGCCTTTAAACTAATTTCTCAACATATTATTTAATTTAACTTTAATTTAAACAGCAGTAAAAATTGTTATTACTATGTTTCATAAACATGTTGGCATTTAGATCATTACATGAAATCTCTTTCTGGACCATGTTGATTTTAATAAACACATGTTAAACATATTAAAGAAGCATTTAAAAAAATTGGATGAGCGCTTTCTCTTTAATTATATTTGGCTATTTTTCAGTCTTTCAGTTTATTAAACCTATCATTGTATTTGTAAATAATATTTCACAATCCCATTTAAATTTAACAATCAATAAATTTGTACTTAATAATGAATCCTAGAAGTGTAGATAGTAATACTATGAGTTTCTATTATCTTCAGTAATATATTGTATAAAGAAACAAAAAATTTATAATTGTTCATATCAGCAATTTCAAAGAATAAGGTTTCATGGTTATTTAAAATATTATTTCCATTTATTATTTAATTATTAATTGCATATATATAATAATGACATTATATAATATTCTTAATTTTTTCAGGTTACACCTCTACACAAAATGCGAGAATATATAATTTGTGAAGATTTTTTAGTGCTTTATATTTTGGTGAAATCAGTGGATTTTAAATATTATACGTGAAAAGTATTTAAAGTGAAGTGAAAATGTTGTGTTTTGGATGCAGTGCTAAAAGATGGCGTTGATGACATCATTGCTGAGCAAGTGTTGTACTAGTTTCGCTACTACACACCAGGTGGCGCTGGTAAGTTATATTTTTTCATACTATAGACACCTTGTGACAAAATGAAGAAACTAGTGTTGACTTGTTTGCTGTAGCTTCTTGTCAATAGATGGCGCAACTTATCTTAAATAAGTTGTTTTGTATTGGCTTCTTTTTAAAAGCTATATTTGTTGATAAAGATAGGGATTAGGGAATATCATGAGAAATAAAAATATTGAAATCAAATTAGAATTAAAAATTGCGTATAATTTTAATTTAGACCCTTAACTCACAAATAAAAAAGAAATTTTGTCTTTGATGTCTCGTTATCTAATATTTTTTTCTGAAATAATTATAGATTATTACAAGTTTTTAATCGTCAATATCACTCTTCGATAGAACTTATGTTAATTTAATTTAAATGCGACGTATAAGAACGATTTTACATAAGTATATTTTTCAGTTTCCAATTATTACTTTGTAGTACCAACAAGATAAAACCAAACTATTCCTATCTATCAGATTCACATTGGATTTTGACAGATGTGAGAATTTTATTCGCATTCACATATTATACCTCTGAAATGGAGTCTATGCATCTCAGTTATGTATATCAAATCGATTGTTTTATTACCATTTGTATTAACATTAACTAATAACAATACAATGGACGAGTATTTAAAATGATGTAATAATAAAGCTTGATTATAGTGGTCAGAAATAAACAATATATACCATATATAATTATTTATAACTTTGACCCTTTAAATTATTTCCTACAAAGTCAAAGGCGATTATTATGCAAATAAGTTTTCTAAGAAAACGTTTAAAAATACTTACTGAATACAAACTGAACATTAACATTAGTTTTTGTTAGGAAAGGCTGGTCATAAAGATCATTATCTAAATAGGAGCGTGTTAAAATTTTATTGTTTTAGGAATATGTAGTCCCTTGTTTTCATAGCGACAAAACAATTTTTGAGAAAGTTTTGACATAGTTTTGACGTAAAGGCGATTTTAAATTAGGATGTTGACAAGTATTTTTAATTGTCTTTGATTAACATAACTTTTATTCATTTAATAAAACACTATTTTGACCGGATTGTAGTTATGTATTATTATAAATTTACAACTATTTAAAATTATGTTAAATAGTTGTAATATAATAAGTTACAACTTCAATCCGGTCAAAATAGTGTTTTATTAAAAGTATTTTTAACCTGCTAATAACATTATATTCGTACTGATACTTAAGTTTTGTTATTTAAAAAAAGTTAAAGAAGTATCTTATACTTCTATATAAAAACTAATAGGATTGTATTGGTTTTTATGTTTAAAGACGACATGTATTTATAAAAAAAAAAAAAATCCGGACACAAATATAATATAATCAGCATTGCTTGTAATCGTAAATAAACAAACCCAGTTCTATATTAATAGGAGTAAAATAAGTGAGTACTTATTTGATATGGGTTTCATTAAATTCGTCATAATGTACCTTTTTCAATTACTAATTCTTATAGGTCAGTTAATCGTATAAGTTTTTCTAATCTATCAAAAATAATTTCTAATCCAACAACTGTTAGTCATTTCTCGCAATAACTAGCAGACAAAATGATCATCAAATTACATATAACTTTATACAAATTATAAAATCGACGGTTAAGTTAACGAATATACAAGTCCATCGAAACTCATAAAACCCCATTGCAGATTTTATGTCTCCGTAAAAAACTCAGCTACCAGCTGTGATTTTAAAGCCGTGTGACTCACGTACAACTTAACATATTAAAATGTTTTTATTTACAAACAAAAGACGTGGAAGGGTTAACAGCACCGGACGCTGTCCAGAAATGGTAATATATGGAAGGAAGTTGGGAATAAAACTTAAATCAACGGTTAGACGATTAAAATAAAACTTTGTTTGAGACAATAACAATGCGTTAATGTTAGTAAATATTACTGAGAGATTTAAAATTTTTGTGCACACCATCAAAATATTTAGTCAAAGATTAACAAATGCGTGTTACTTTATGTAGGAAAACATATGTAGTTTAGCCCTGATTATGGATAATAATAATGTATTTTTAACTTCGTATTACTCAATACAACCGATTTAACGTGCGTCGGATTGATTTGTCAGTAAAATTTTACACAGGTGACTGTTATCAAATTCAGCTGACAGGGCGTCACCCACTTCAGGTAGTTCCGCGACCGCGACTGTCGCATCGGGGTCGCTCCCGCATTCTACCTATTTATTTTTTAATTTATTAAGTATAAAGTAACCTAAAAGTAACTTAACATCAGGTGAGCCTCCTGCCCGTCTGCCTTGTGCGTACAAAGTCCACATGTCAGGAGTTAAACTTCTTTGGCAAACTAATTTTTAAGTCTTGTTCATATTTATACAAATCGAAAAGTTTTGATTTCCGAGACTTAGAGGGAGGGAAATAGGAAGATATGTTAGGAATTTAATTGTCATTAAAATATTAAGTGTTGAAAATTAATACAAATAATTTATTTATTTATTTATTTCTTTGATAATAAAAACACATGGCATTTTAATTTACAATTCGTCATTTGAGATTTCATTAAATTATTTTGCATAAAATATAAAATATAAAATACAAATATTTCATAAATTATCTTTACGAAATTTTAATTTTACCCTCATGCGCCTAAAAAATTCACTTAAAAAAATACTATGACAAAATTGTTATTGTCAATTACTTAATGACATCCCTAAAGTTATAATACGTACTCTGTAAATTTCAATAGTGTCAGTGACAACGATACCGATATTTTTGTATCCAAGTTTGATGTAGTTCTCTCAAAATGCGTGGCGCTGATATCGGAAATTTTGTGATAGCGCGGAATAATTAATACCTAGTTATTGAGAACAGAACCGCTGTCGTTACAATAATTTCTCATACAACACTAAATCTAAATTATTATTGGGTAATATACACGTATGATATGTAAATAACGTTTATTAGTTATCATAACAATCAAATAAACAGTATATATATATATAT